TAAACCTGAAAACACCCCATTAGTTTTCACCTGGTTATTTACCTGCACCAAGACTGAAGCCTAAATTTGTTTTTAAAGGATATTTGGCACATCCTTTGGATATTGCTGGGTGAACAGTCAGCATACCTAAAGCTATTTTAATGTCCTTACTTTTAGTGGAGACAAAAGGAAAACATTCATGTTCCACGTGTGACATTGAGGGAGGCAGTGGAGCAGTGAGGAGCAGCCCATGGAGTGGGCTCAGGGAGGAATTCTATCCCTCCTCGAGGATTGCTCTTTTTTTTTTTTCATTTTGTGAACATGTTGAGAAATTCAACAGCTTGTCAGTCAAACTGCAGCTTCTTGGAAACACAGGGGAGAGTGGGAAAGAAGAGCTCTGTGGGGAACTTTTATTCGGGTACGTTTCTTGGACAGTCTCTCCCAGCCTTTGCCAAAGGGGAGGGGAGCACAAGTGGTTGGAAATCTGCTAATTTTTTTTTTTTCCTAAAAATTTAGTGCCTGGGTTCATTTTTGGATGAGCATGTTGCCTTTTGTACTTCCTATCTATATCTAGAGATGGGGGGGGGGGGAAAACCCACCCAAACATGGATCTTTATATCTTTTAAGTGCAGCGTGTCCCTCAGTCACCAGGTGAAATCCCCTGCTCCAAAATGGGAGCTCTTGGACCTTCTATTGGTCCTTTCCATTAAAGGAAAATTGAAATAAAAGAGAGATGTAGATGGCATCATTTATGAAACATCTATATTTTCCCAACGTTTGTGATTACACTTCTACTCTGTAATATGTATGTGATTGATGATTTAGATGAGTTAACTGTGTATAAGTTAAGTGTTAGATGTGATTTAAACCAATTATTTTATGGAATAGATAAAATCTTTTCATGCTTTATTGTGCACTCTCTTAAGAATCAGCAGCTTCAGACTAAATACATAAAAGCAAGGAAAAGCAATTATATCTCTTAAGAATAAGAGCTCTGATTCAATATTTAAGGGACTGCTCGACTTAAAACATGAGTGATACAATCACAGAATGGATTGGATTGGAAGGGATCTTAAAGCTCATCTCATTCCAACTGTCCCCTAGCCCAGGGTGCTCCAATCCCTGTCCAACTTGGCCTTGGACACTTCCAGGGATGGGGCAGCCACAACTTCTCTGGGCAACCTGTGCCAGGGCCTCACTACGAGTGATTTGAGTTGCAAAAAAAATAGAATCAATGCAAAATTTATGCAAAGAAAAAAAAAAAAGGAGGTAAGAAATAGCATCTTTGTCCTGCTCAAGTGTTGCTGTGCAGTGTCTGTGGTTTGAATGTTTTTTCTGTGTTTATTTGAGGACACAAACCAGTAAATGGACAAACCTGTGAGATATTACGAGTGGAATATGAGATATTACAAGTGGAAATCAGTGAGGAGCAGGAGGCAGTGCTGTTTTTTTTTTTTCAGGGAGTGTAAGTCTGAACCAGGCCTTTTGTGCAGGAGAGAAAGTAATTACCCCACATCTATTTCTGTGCATTACAGGATCTTCGAAGGGCAGAAGCAAAAGCTCTTTTGTGTCTGCCACCAGCGCTGCTTTTGGGGTCAAGGGAGCAGCTCACACCTCATTTCATCATCCTGCAAGTTGCCACCTGCCGTTATTAATACCCCACAAAAAGCCTGCAATGTGGAAGCTCCTAAGTTGCTTCCAAAGAGCCCGGGAAGCAGAATCCCTGGGGTTATTTTGCTGCTGGGATCTGGGAAAGGGGCAGCAGCTGTTGGGTGGGGAATTACAAAGGCTTCCATCCTGTCTGGTCAACAATAAAATGATATTTTTTTCCTCTTAAATAAGTGGGATACCCTGTGTGGATGCTTTGGGTGGGAGCAGGGATATCCAAATCTGGATATTCCATACATTTAATTCACATTTTTGAGCTGTCTGGGTCAGGATCTTGCTATGGAAAAATGGCAGAGATTAAAGCCATAGTTGTCCACCAAGGAAGTTCTGGTTATCTCCAATCACAATTTCAGAGGAACCATTTGGAAGTCAACCATGCAGAAAGCCAGAACCATCATTCTTCTCTGGATACAACTACCTTTGACCAATAAAATATAAATAAAATAAAATATAAAATAAAATAGGAAATAAAAGAAATAAATTAATAAAATAAAGTAAAGGATAAAACATCCTTGGGTTCAGCTGGGGAAAACTTAAATAAAAATTAAAAACCAATTTCCAAGGGAAAAAATGTCACAAAATTCACAGCTCTCATTAAAACGTCATTTTGAACTTGACTCTTCTGCTCTCCTTACTTGTTCATAGAAGTATTTTATTTTCATGACATTGGGATGTTTTCCACCAAATAAATGTGGGGGTTTTTTTCATGGGATGATGCTTCTCATGGTCAATGTAGTTACAAGGGTGAAAGCCCAAGTCAAACAGAGTATGTCAGAAATCCACACCAGAGAGTGGAAAGGATTAGAGTTTGGGGTGGCTGGATGGACATTCCATGAGGAGAAGAAACCACCGCTCCTTGAATTAAAAAAAATGCAAGTATTAAAGCATTAAAAAAAACCCAAACAAATCAATATAAATTAACAGCATTTTGAGGGAGAAGGCAGCAGGGAGCAAACCAGAGTGGGAGGCAGGGAATTAAGGTGTTGAAAAATGTGGAAAACCAGTACAAATTACTTGGCCTAAGTGGATGAAGGGTGACATCAGCATGGTCCTCAAAGAGGGATTTTGATCTCAAGCAACCCCAATGAAGTTCAGTAACCCCAAAATGCTAATTGGTTGGTGTTACTTGAGCTCATAACTCAAGAGAACACTTTTGAGGTCAATCAGTTGGCATGTTAGAGTTACTCTGAGTCATTTTGGGGTTACACTGGGTAATTTGGGTTACTGCAGGTTAAAGTTTCTACAAAGAACTTTGGAGTTATTTTAGGTCAAAAATCTAGCATTTTGGGGTCACTCGAGTTCATTTTGGGGTCATTGAGTTCATTTTGGGGTTACTCTGGGTCATTGGGGTTACTGCAGGTTAAACTTGCTCTCTGCAGAGAATTTTGGGGTTACTTTAGGTCAAAAATCGGGCATTTTGGGGTCACTCGAGTTCATTTTGGGGTCATTGAGTTCATTTTGGGGTCACTCGAGTTCATTTTGGGGTCATTGAGTTCATTTTGGGGTTACTTTAGGTCATTGGGGTTACTGCAGGTCAAACTTACTCTGTGCAGAAAATTTTGGGGTTACTTTAGGTCAAAAATCGGGCATTTTGGGGTCACCTCGAGTTCATTTTGGGGTCATTGAGTTCATTTTGGGGTCACTCGAGTTCATTTTGGGTCATTGATTCATTTTGGGGTCATCGAGTTCATTTTGGGGTCATTGAGTTCATTTTGGGGTTACTCTGGGTCATTGGGGTTACTGCAGGTTAAACTTGCTCTCTGCAGAGAATTTTGGGGTTACTTTAGGTCAAAAATCGGGCATTTTGGGGTCACTGAGTTCATTTTGGGGTCATTGAGTTCATTCTGGGGTTACTCGAGTTCATTTTGGGGTTACTCGAGTTCGTTTTGGGGTCACTTGAGTTCATTTTGGGGTTACTCGAGTTCATTTTGGGGTTACTTTAGGTCATTGGGGTTACTGCAGGTCAAACTTACTCTGTGCAGAAAATTTTGGGGTTACTTTAGGTCAAAAATCGGGCATTTTGGGGTCACTCGAGTTCATTTTGGGGTTACTCAAGTTCATTTTGGGGTCATTGAGTTCATTTTGGGGTTACTTTAGGTCATTGGGGTTACTGCAGGTCAAACTTACTCTGTGCAGAAAATTGTGGGGTTACTTTAGGTCAAAAATCGGGCATTTTGGGGTCACTCGAGTTCATTTTGGGGTCATTGAGTTCATTTTGGGGTTACTCGAGTTCATTTTGGGGTCATTGAGTTCATTCTGGGGTTACTCGAGTTCATTTTGGGGTCATTGAGTTCATTTTGGGGTCATTGAGTTCATTCTGGGGTTACTCGAGTTCATTTTGGGGTCACTCGAGTTCATTTTGGGGTCATTGAGTTCATTTTGGGGTTACTTTAGGTCAATGGGGTTACTACAGGTCAAACTTTGTGCAGAAAATTTCAGGGTTACTTTAGGTCAAAAATCGGGCATTTTGGGGTCACTCGAGTTCATTTTGGGGTCATTGAGTTCATTTTGGGGTCACTCAAGTTCATTTTGGGGTCATTGAGTTCATTTTGGGGTCATTGAGTTCATTTTGGGGTTGCTCTGGGTCACTGGGGTTATTTTATGTCATTGGGGTTACTGAAAGTCAGACTCACTTTCTCTAGGGAACTTTCGGGTTACTTAGGTCAAAAATCTGGCATTTTGGGGATCACTCAGGTCATTTTGGGGTTACTCTGGGTAATTTTGGGGTTTCTCTGGGTCATTTGGGTTGCTGTAGGTCCTTCTGGTTTATTAGAGGTCAAGTTCCATCTCTGGGGACCACGCTGTGGTGCTTTGACTCAAACCAGTTTGCCTTTGTGGTTGCTTTGGGTCATTTACTCCAGTCTTGTGTGCAGATCCTGGCCCTGAGGTTGTGTCCCTGTCACACCTCATCCCCTCCCGGTTCTTCCCCAGGAGCCCCATGGTCTGTTCTCCGTCACTCCTGGGTGCTGGGGTGGCTGTCATGTCAGTCCCAGCCCTCCTGGTGACTTCTGAGTTCCTTTGGCACCATGAGTTGCTCATGACGGGCTCCTCAACCCTCCCTTCTCTCCCCTGGGCCCTTCCCTGGCTCTTCCCCCAAATCTGCCATGCCCCTGTTCCCTGTGCCCCAGCACCTCTTGGCTTGTCAGCACAGGAACTCCTCTCTCATTCAGTTTTAGCAGGAGAAGATGTAGATACTGAGCACTTGGAGCAGAGAAAAGCTCTCCAGCTCAGTCTCTTCTGGCTCCTGAATCTCTGTGTCCATACCCACCTTTACCTCCACCTGCAGCACCTGAAGATTTGGGGATATAATTAAAACAAACACACCAACACAGTGTGAAACTTTTAAACCAGGCTTTACTGGACTGACAATCATCAACAGCACACGTGACCTCCCAGGGTTAGGCTTTAATTACCATTCATACACAGGTAAATGATTAGTCTTTAATAAACTTGACCTAAATTGGCCACGAGTCTCAAACTGGGGAGTGCTGGTACGAGGTGGGCAGCGGTTGTGGTGTAGGGCTGAGGTTTGGGCACCTTTGGAGTGAGGGGGAAGAGCTTCCTTCACTTCTTGGTGTTGAAAGCCAGAGCTGAAGTAGGATTTCTTCTTTCTTCCTTAGTATTTATTGGTGTTCTCTTCTTCTCCTTCTTCCTGTGAAAGGACAGGGGACAAGTCATTTCTTCTTCACTGAATTGTTTTGTTTTGTGGGTTTTCCCAGTATATTCCCTCATCCCCTGTGGGGTTACTTTGGCTTCACCAGTTATCTTCTCTGCCTACTGTACATGGGATTTTTTTTCTCTCTTTCACACTTTATTTCCCCTTGTTCCCTGTATTTCACACCTGCAGTTGTCTTCCTCCTTGTGCTGCTTAGTCCATGTATGTTTTTTCCTTAACTATTTCATGAAATTCTAATTGCTGGCTATTAGATGCTACAAATAATAGATATATATTATACCATGCTTACCTACAGTCACTGCTCACATTCTCTCAGTGTTCCTGGGTCTGTGTTTGTGACAAGCCTTAGATTTGATTAATTTGTGTCTCCTTTTTGTGTGCAAGAGGCCACCACTTTGGCTCCCCTGCCCTGTTTTAACATCTCTCCTAGAGTTCTTCATAGCTTGAGTTGGAGGGAACCTTTTAAAAGTCATCCAGTCCAACCCCCCTGCAGTGAGCAGAGACAGTCCTTCTTCAAGGACCATGTGTTTACCTGAGGGAAAATGTCAGGAAAATCTCATCCTGGGGAGGTTGCCAAGACTTCCTCTAGACACGTATCCCCTCAGACGTGAGTCACTGCACAGGCTTCCCCCCAGCCGGTCCCCGAGGCTTCCTTATGTCCTCAGACATGAATCACTGGACAGACTCTTCCTCACTAATTGCTGTTGTGGAGCAGGAGAAGTGGGGAGCAGCTGTTGCCTTTTCCTGAGCCCCCTCAGAAAGAGGGGCTCCAGCAGCACCAGAAGGGTGTGGGCACGTTCCCTTCCCTTCAGGTCCTGAAAGTGAAAAGCAGTGAGAGAGAGGTTCTAAATTCTTCATCTCCACATGCCTCTGTCTCACCTGGAGGAAGCTGGATGTTGCCTGAAACGGGGAGGATGGAAGTGGAAGGGCATGGGAGTTCTTTCCTGGGACAGAAAGGAGGCAGGAAAAGAAAGGACAAGCTATTTTTTGGTGCATGTCAAGGGACTGCTTAGCTCTGTAAGCATTTGGGCCATTCCTATGGCTCCCACTGGAATTGACAGTGCCTCCAACACAGGCTAAGAAAACCCCACCCATCAACAGACCCACTGATTCCTGTCTTACCTTTGTAGTCAAGGTTTTATGAGAGAGACAAAATCCCAGTCTTGCCATCTTGACTTGAGTCAAGGTCTCAAAGTCTGAGGTTGCCTTCTGGAGAAGGAAGGAAATGGGGAGCAAAGATGACACAAAATAAATCAAGAAGAACAAAATAAAAGCAAGCAACAATAAATAACTGCAGTAATAAATAAGCTGAGTAGGGGACAGCCAGAATCCAGGTACACTCACACCTCAGTGGCCAGGCACAGAGGTTCTAGCAAAGCAGAGCCAAAATACTTGCTGGGAAGTTCAGTTGAACTCCTGAGCTCCTCTCCCTGTCCTGGTGGGAGCCATCCTCTTCCCATCTAATGTGGCAGTTCACAGGACACACAGGAGGCGCATGATGAAATGAAATATCTGCCTAAATTTAATGATCATCTCTAATTACTACTTCATTTTGTCCCCGTATCTTTCTGCTTGTCTCTTCTGTAGAGTATCTTTACAAGGCCAGGCTGTCTGACACCAGGATAAATCCTCTCTCAGCAAAGAATAGAGTTAAGAGAAAATATTGGTGGTTTTTTTCTTTTCTGGTTATGACCCAGTATTTCAGTTTATTTCCTCTCTGACTTATCTATTTGGGAACTCTCCAACTCAACCAGGATGTGATTGCTTTAGAGTAGATTATGAGATTTCTAAAAAGCATCATTAAATCAAAGCCAATAACCAGAGCAGAACTGTGAACTAGAAAGCAGTAATGAGAATTAGTCACACATTAAAAATCCACATCTATAGATAAAGGTATAGATAAACTGTTAGAGAAAGGTACAGATTTAGCAGGATTTGAGCAGGTGTAAATACATGAAAGGTTAAGTCTTAGCAGCATTTAATATTAAATCTGCATAGATTTTCTTTTTTTTTTTTTTAATATAGATTTGCATCATGTGCTGCCATTAGTTTGAGGGGATAAAAAGAAAGAAGAGGGAGCAGCAACAGATCTGAGGGAGAACCAAGCTCAAAAGCCCTTTTCCATTCTACCTGCAAGGCTCTACTTGCCTCTAACAAATAGCTGGGGGTTCCACCTTTTATATCACAAGGTCTATTCAGCAAGGAAATGTCTGATTATGGCAGAGCAGTTCTACACCTCTTGTATTATCATGTGCTCTTACAATCAATTTTGTTTGAGCATGGGCATGACACAGCTTCTTGCTCATCACTCAAATCTTCCCATCATTTTCTTTACCTTCTGGCAGGGCTTGGATTTAACATCTTAGACTCTCCTTTGCCTCTTCCTGAAATAAGATAAATGTTCACAAAAAAAAAAAAATCAGTAGATAAAAAGACAAGGAGTGACACCATCCTACAGAATTTAGTGTACCTGGATATAATTTCTTAGATCACAGAATTATTTCAGTTGGAAGAGGCTACAGGAGATCTGGGGAGGGACTTTGGATGAGGGCATGGAGGGATAAGACAAAGAGAAATGGATTTAAACTGAAGGTGCATTTAGATTGGATATAGGAGAGAAATTGTTCCCTGTGAGGGTGGGCAGGCCCTGGCACAGGTTGCCCAGAGAAGCTGTGGCTGCCCCATCCCTGGAAGTGTCCAAGGTCAGGTTGGATGGGGCTTGGAGCAACCTGGTCTAGTGGAAGGTGTCCCTGCCCATGGTAGGGATTGGAATGAGATGAATTTTAAGGTCCCTTCCAATCCAAACCTTCCACTGATTCTGTGATGAACCCATTCCAGGTGGGTGACTGCAGGCTTGAGAGCATATTCATAATTGGATAAAAATCCCATTTACTTCACACTTTGTCTATGCCCTGAGCTTCGATGCTAAGACAGCTCAGCACCTGTTTCTCTATTTCTTCCCTTTCAGAATTCTACTACTGGGGCTCAGACCTGCAGCTTCCCAAAAAACCTCTCCCCAGGCTTAGGGAGTCCAGGCAGACCTGTGTCTGCTCCACTTCCCTCACTCTGCTCAGCAGTCTCATCTCATCCTGACTGGCCCCTTGTGTGCCCTGCAGCCCAAATCTTTCCCAAATAACAGCCCTCCTCCAAGAACATGCAGCAAACCTCTGCTCCAGCCACAAACCCGGATGACCAGCCTCCTCCCAGCCTGGCCTGCCTGCCAAGAAACACCCAGTGATGCAACCCCAAAATGCACCCGTGTACCTGAGACTCCACGACTCTCCAAGGAGGGGCAACTTCCAAGCATGGTGGGGTGGACTGGCACCTGCCCAGAGCATCCTCCTCCTCCTCAGACAAGGACTGTGCCTCCCCAAAATGCTCCTCAAGCTCTCTGCCTGCCTCCTCAACAACTCCTCAACACCAACAACGCTCTCCAAACAACCGACAAACCCCCCACTCCTCAAAGTGCACAACACCCTGTGTCAGCCGAGGGGGTGGGATGTGAAGGGGACAGGGAACTGCGGGGATGGTGGGGAGGTGGGTTTTCCTGCACGATCTCCACTGACCTACCTCACCGCTGTCCTTTTGTCTGTCTCTCCTCTCCCCTGCCCAGGGCCCGGAGCGGTGCACGACGGCGGCAACGCGGCGTCCCGGGTGGCCGCCGGCCTCTGCCTCTGGGCCACCCTCCTCGCTCGCCTCCTCCTCCTCGACTTTTGATAAGGGAGCGGAGGGTCCCGGGAGGCTCCACCGCGCCTCTCCCCCCGCCACGGGCTCCGCCCGCCGCGCCGCCCGGGGACTCCTCTCCGCGGGACGGGCGATGCGCCGGAGGACGGGCGGCGGTGCCGAGCGTCCGAGGATGGCCCCGTCTCCCACGTGCCGGGATCGTTCTCGCCGCCAGTTACGCTGTACAGACCCCACCACGTGCCACCAGACTGTCACCCGCCACCGCCGCCCCGGGGACGCGGCCCGGCCCGGCACGGACGGTGCTCCTCGTCTCCGGCGCGGGGGCCGTGGAGCTGTCGGGGCAGGTGCCGCCCAGAGCCTTCACCGGGGATGTCCGTCTCGTCGTCTCACTAAGCCGCCTATGCCCAAAAAGACCCCAAGGTTGAAGCCCCCTGGCTCTGCCTTCAGCCCTCTTGGTCCTGAATGTCAGTTCTTGTCGCCAAAGCTCCTCCCTAAGCACCCCCCGATGTCACTGGCCTCCCCTCATCTGCCTCTGCTCCTGACGTGACGCTCGCTGGCCCTTTTGGAGAGGGTCAGGGGACACAACCAGTTGTCCTTCAAGGGTCAGGCACTTCCCACTACTCTTTCTCTCAGCTAACATCGTACCCCTCTGCTTCCCAATAAACCCCCTCACCTTCCCGAGGGCACGAGGCTGCTCTCCCAGGAATGTGAGCCCTGGGGATGATGCCAGCCCCTCATGGGGACTAGAGCCTTCTGGCTGCATCAGATAGCCAGGCCATCACCCCTTCTTGCTCCAGGCCCCTGCCCGCTCTGCTGCTGTCCCTATGATGGCAGGGGCTGCCCTGTGGCTGTTGCCCTGCTGTGTTGCCAGCACTTTTTTTGGGGGAGTTCCTCTGGGCTTGTTTTCCAAGCACTTTCCAAGCTGCACATCAAAAGCACAGCACCACCAAGGCGGGGCAGAGGCTCTGAACCACACAGCGAAACACCAGCTGACAAGGCCCTTTTGCTGCGGCTCTGACGCTCGTGATCGTCTGCATCCCTGCCTTTCTGAGGGCCCTGAGCTGCAACACCCTCGTGCTGCCTTCTCTCATGCCCATCACGTGCCCCTGCCTGAGGAAAGTCTGATGTGCTCAACCCTGTGGAGGCAGCTCAGGCTCCACCGATTTACTGCTCTGGCACGGCAGGGACAAGAACGGCTCTGATCCTCCCTGCTGTGACACGCCCGCGACACCAAAATGGATGCACCCAGACTCTGCCCTTCCAGCCACTCTGGGAGCTGCCTGTGGTGGTGGCCACATCACCTCCCTGCATATGGAATTGTGCTCCTGATGGCACCGTGCACCATGGACCCCCTCACCTGGTACACTGTGGCAGCCCCGAGCCCTCCCGACGCTCCCTGGCCACCCAGGAATGCTTTGGGGCCACAGTCTGGGGATGAACACTCCCATCCTGCTCCTGAAAAGTCACATCTCGCACCAGACCCTGTTGCTGTGACAGGGAGACCTGATTACAGCAAGGCACTGAGCAAGCACACAGAGCATCCCCTGTCCTGACCCGCCGCATCCCTGTGCCTTTTCCCTCCTTTCTCCCTCCATAAGTGAGATGACTTAAGAGCAATGGCCACTCACACGCTGTCTTCCCTGTGCAGACTCCGCTGCTGCCCAATCCTCCTGCTTTGTGTGGCTGTGAGGAAGCTGGGGTGACAGTCCTTAGCACACAGGATGGAAAAAACCAGCCCAAGCCAGAGGCCATGATGGGCCACCACCCCGTCCTCTATGCAGCTGTGCCCGTCCTCATCCCTGCTCCCAACGGGCTGCCCGGGACCTGCTACAGAATCTCAGTGGATGCTCCCAGCCCCCATCCTGGATGTTCACCATGTACCACGGCTGATGGGCAAACCCCCCCTGGCCCGGGGCTGCCCTGGTGCTGGCGGGACACGCGGGTTACCTGGTGGACGGGGATCCGGCACTGACTGGGTGAGTCCGCGTCCTGCGGTCCCTGCGGTGCTGCTCTGCATCTCCACTGGCATCCCGGGAAGGTGGCACTGGCAGCAGTCTGAGTCGTCTCCTGGGCATGTTTACTGAGCGGGGATGGCACCGTCCTCAGCCAGCGACACACGCACATCCTTCCCCACGCGCCCGCTCCAAGAGTGCCCTTGGGTGCAGGAGACGCCTTGCCCCGATGCCTTCAGTGGTCCGCACTGCCCCACAACAGCCCCCCTGCTGCCTCCCCCTGCCCCTTCCTGGGTCAGCCCCAAATTTCTCCGTCCCTGCAGCAGAAACGCTGCAGAACCACAGGGCCAGAGGCCACGGCATATCAGAGAGCGGCGGCGACGACGAGACGCCACGACGCACACCGAGGCTGGCGGACCTGGCACCGGGGCTGCCCCCCATCCCATCCTCCTCCTCCTCCCTGGGCCAGGTGGGCTCAGCTCCCCTGTCCTCTGCCGGGACAGCGTTCGACTTTCTCGTGCCATGTAACGTGCCATTGTGAGGAACGTGTTGGCTGTCTGGAGGCCGACCCCGCTGGGTGTCAGACCCCTTTGTGACCGCTGCTCTCCATGTTTGGATGCCTGGGGGGGGTGGCTGGGCGCCCAGGGCGGGGGCAGCGTGGCCCCTGGGTCTCTCCTGCTGATGGCCACGACGGCCAGTCTTGAGTTTCTGTCGATCATTGTATTCCAAGGGTGGCTATACTACCTGAGATTTGTGCATGTTACATTGTAGTTGTAACCTTTTCTAATTCGGCAAGAATAAGAGATGGTTGTGATTGTGCAGTGTATCAATAAAGTTTGACGAACTTTGTACCTTCGGGGCTTTGCTTCACGGACCCCCCACACCCCAGGGAGGGACGTGGTGCTTGGCACCCGGTGTGCTGAGCCAGGAGGGCTCCCAAGTGGGTCCTGTAGTCTTACCCAGCACTTGGTTAGACCCTCTTTTGATCATCCCCTGTGATGGTGACACTTGGAGCTCCCACAGCTGGGGGTCCGCTGCTGTTTGGGCCACCCCTCACCCCACCCATGCATCTCCCCTGGGAATCCACCAGTGGGTCCCAGGGCCCACCCACCTCCATCCTCCATCTGCCAATGAGCACATACCTGCTGACAGAGCTCCTGCAGGGTAAGGACTGTCTTTGCTCTCATCACTCACCTTCAGCGGAAGCAGCGCGATCAGGGGCCTCTTTTCCATGCCTGAGCCATTCCCAGCATCTTCTCCATCATCTTGTAACAATCTTGTAACTTGCTGACAAGCTAACCCCCCCACCCCTGTGAAGGGACACCTCTGTGGATGACGCGCTCCCAAGGGTGGTTTGCTCCTGTCATGATCTGACAGTGCGTGACACCGACCAGATGTCTTCATCAAAGGACAAAGATGGCAAGGACCAGGACCAGAAGGAGATGGGACCCTCAGCATCGTCCTGACATGGCTGTAATCTCACCCTAAAACCACGGGGCTGGGGAGAACAGGCTGTGCCCCCTGCACCAGGGGGATTCTGTTCTACCCTATCAGCTTTCCCCACCTTTCTACCACATCAGCTGGGAGAAAACATTCAACAAGCTCCTCTAATGTGGGACCTGCTGCCAGGAGACTGGAGGTTGTGGACTGAATCAGACCTATCAGAGTCTCACTCGCTTTGAGACCTCCCTTCGCCTTCCTCGACATGAGAATGAAAAGCCCAGTCCTGAAAGTTTATCCCTGAACCTCACAAGAAGCTGCCCTGCTGAGCAAACAGCTCCAGCCCAGCACCACTATGAGTTGCTGTGACCTCACACATCAGGGACATCTCTGCTGTCCCCCTGCAGAAAGGTAAGTGCTTCCCAAAACCCAATGGCCTCCCCAAGAAAGGGATCTGGGAGGGGCAAACAACCCTGCCTGCTTTCCTCAGTGTTCCCTGCAGTGAGTCAAGCACAGGTGATCACTGTAGGAAACTCTGTGCTTGAGACAGAAACTCAAGACTGGCCTCTTCCAAAAATACCCAACCAATCAGGGAGCCAAGGCTGATGCAATATAAATACTGGGGCCACAAAGCAACACCGGCTTCTTGCATGTGGCACCTGGGGATCCCACCACAATCTGGGCCTCCCTAATGCTTCCCATCTTAAAATACTGGTTCTGCTGGGTGCACCTGCTTCCACTAGAGAGAAACAAATGGTCAAATGCTCTGGCTCATGGCACATCCCAATGCCTTGTCTGCACTGTCCCCATCACAGAGCACCAGGGAGGAGATGCAGCCCCATCCACTGTCAGCCCAGCCATGGATACCCCCATCTCCCTTTTCCAGGTTGAGGGGGATGTTCCTCCATGACCCTCAGCAATTTCCAACCTGTGCCTAAGGACAGGGACCTCAGCTGCTACATCCAGAGGGATGGAGGGCATACTTCAGGCCATAACCTCCATCCCCACCACCAAGACATCCTTACCTATGTCAATAAATTAATACATAAATGCATCCCTCGCGCCGCCTCTCTCTCTCTTTAACATCCTCTGTCTGCTACTCTGGCACTGGACACTCCTTGATCTCTCACCTAGAACACCAAAAAAGTTAAAATTACAGAGAGGAGGTGAAGGAGAGGGCCCCATTACCTCCATAATTATCCCTGGATCCCTCCCCACATCCCCAGAGCATTGGGGCAATGCCTCTCCTGTCAGGTTTGTTCTGCTGTGGCCGGCTGGCCTGGCCTGGGAGACCCAAGACCTGAACAAAGACCAACACTATCTTCTCTGCCATCCTTCCCCTGCTGCCTGTGCCCAGCTGTCCTGTCCCCACAGCACCTCATCCTTTACTTAGGACGTGCCACAAAGCCTGAGTGAGGTTATTCCCTTACCCCACACCGGTATCGCTGGGATACTGCACATCGCGTCTTGAGGCAACTCCTTCCCATCCCTTCTGCGCTCTTCCTCGTCTTCGTGCTCATCTCTTGCGTGGCACAAACTTATTGTAGGGTCAGGAAATAAAAAAACCCACACAAAACTGTCCTGCCATCACTTAACAATCAACTTCTGATCCTACAAATGTGCTGGATGGTGCGAAGCAGCCGGCACCCTGATGCTGAGGACCAAACACGCTTAGCGACCTGCACATCACCAAAACACCAAGACACCAACCAAGACAAGCCCCTGGAGACCGCAAGTTTCACCTACACCCAAAGTCCATCCTGCCATGCTTCGCCTGTACAGCATTTCACAGGTGACCTGGTTTCCTACACCCACCTCACATGGCTGTCTCTCCTTCCCACGTGGGATTTGCTTCGGCTGCTCCACAAGCATCCCCTGCAACGCTGTGCTGCTGGGGCAGAGAGCCAAACAATGAGTTTTTGGGACGCTGAGTGGGGTCCTGACCGGGGGAATAGGGCACAGCTGTGCCTCACACCTTCTCCATCTACTCACCAAAGCCTTACCTGTGACGGCATTCCCACTGGGCTCACCGGTGAGGTCCAGGTGCCACCTTTCCAAGGCTCTCCCGGCCCATTGTGATGTCTCAGTGCTCCCATCTCCCACCCCCCACCTCCAGCACCCCTTCCCCACGCGCCCCTCCCGTTCCCGGTGGCGCGAGGGGAGGACGCGGGGCGGCCCCTGGCCCCCGCGGCAATGAGCACCACAACCAGACGGAGCGGCCACATGGAACAATCGTTTTAATGGATAGGCAGAGAGAGCCCCCTCGCCGCCCGCCTGCCCCCCGCGTGCCCCCCGCCGCCGGCCGCAGGGAAGGAAAGGAAATCGAAGGAGGAAAACCGACCGCGGGAGAGACCCCCCACCGAAACGGACGGCGAGTCGACCAGTCCCAGGTCTCGGCAGAGGGCTCGGCCAGGAGACGGTTGCTTCACCTTCTTTTCCTTACTAGTGTTATTTTTTTATATATATATATATATATATACACACACACGCACGCCCACACACACACATATACATACACATATATATATATATATATAAAAATATAAAACTGAGCTATATAGATCTCCCTCTGTCCCTCGGTTCGCTTCATTCCGCCACCAAGGGGCCGGGGCCACGCGGCGAAAAGCGACGGAGAGGGGGCCCCGGTCCCTCCCGCCACCCTTTGTCCCCGAGGGCGGAAAGGCGAGGGGGTTTGGGGACGTGTGGACCGAGACGCTCGCCTCGTCTCGTTGAGGACCGATACACACCTAACTCCATATACAGCATGCAGTAATGGCAGCGGAAGGACCCTGCTGGGAACCGTGGCTAGAACTCTAACAAAAAAAAAAAAAAAAATTATATATATATATATGTATATTTATATATACTGTATATATATATCCCATAAAAAGATTCAGCGTCTCCCTCCGCCTCAACGCGTGGTGAGCGTCGCCCGTGCCCTCGGCAGGAACTGTCCGGACGACCGCTTTTTGGGCCGGTTTTGGGGGGGTTTCAGCACAGGACTCCTCCTCTTCCTCCTCCTCGCTGGGCTCACAAACCTCCTCGGCCGGTCGCCTCCTTAGCAAACAAACTTCTTCTCTCCGCTTGCTCCCCTTCTCATGGATTATTTCTTTTTTTTTCCCCTCTCTCTCTTTTTGTCCTTTTTCTTTTTTTTTGCCCCTCCTTTTTTTTGTTTGTTTGTTTGTGTTTTGTTGTTGTTTTTTTTTTTTTTTTTTTGCATTTCTGTTTTTTAGGAACTAAGAGTTCTAGGCTCGTACCAGAAAATACAATTAATAAAATTAACCATGACTCAGAATCCCTTATCATTCACGATGTCCGCGGATGGTACGATGAAAGCGTGGCTCGACGCCGGTCTCCTTCCTCCCTTTCCCTTCGTGGCGGCGTGGTAACTGTTGAAGATCTATATATCTATACATATACATATATGTATACCTGGGTATATACATATATATATATATTTTTCTGAAACACAAATGGCGGCACAGTCCATGAGAAGAGGGGAAATCTTGTCAAAGGAGAAAACCGGTGTGTCCGGATGGAGGGTCCCACGGGAGGGAGCAGGCAGGCTGGGGCAGTGACACGGACGGGGCAGGGGGGGAAGCACCACACTCCGATGGCCCCGTCCATCCTCTGCGCTGGCCCACGGCAGAGAACGGTGAAGACCGTGGAGGGGAATAAAAGGGACGGGAGACCCCCAAAAAAAGAAAAATAGGGCGAAAAGAAAAAGACTCAGTTGCGTTGTGCCTTCAGCAGGAAGCCTTGGATTATTATTAATTTTTCCCCTTTTCTCTCCGAATTCCCATTGTGTTTTTTTTTTCTTTTTTTTTCTTGTTTTGTGTTTTGGTGGGGGTTTTTTTGCGTGCTTTTCCTCTCTCCCCCTCCCCCAGGTGGCCTGGCCGGATACTCTCTCAATTCTTATGATTATTTTCGGAAAACGGTGAACACTTCTTCTTCTTCTTCCTCTCCTTTCCCCTTGCGCTCGCTGGCCGTGGTCGTCGCCGCCGCTACTCCGCGGGCCGGCTCTCGGGTCAAAACTGGCGGGCGAGTTGGGCGAGCGGCAGGAGCAGGAGCCACCCGCAGCCCCCTCGTCGCCACGCGCCGTTGTTCCCGTCGTGCACCGCGCCGGGGCCTGAGGGAGGGAGAGGAACACCCGCAGGGTCACCCGCAAAGTCAGCAAGAAACCCGCGAAACGCGAAATAAACCGTAAAGCCAACCAAAGGACGCTATTTGGGCGGCGTTGCGCGTGGTGGGATTGTTCTCCAGGCAGCCCCCTCCACCTGTGCTGTCGTGAAGAGCACGGCAGCAGCCATCCCCATCCCCACTGACCCTGGTCTTTTGGGACAAGACTCACTTCTCATCCCTAAGTTTCCATCCCAAGCCCGTCCCCTGTGCATCACCACCATCCCACCTCCCTCAGCCCCTTTCCCCCTCCTCCAAATTTGTCCACGTTTTCAGCCACCCTTAGAGGGGAGATGACAGCTTTTGCCCAACACACTCTGCCCACCCTGTTCCCCACTCATGTCCCATGGGAGGGCAAGTAACCGCCTGCCCACCCAGCAGAGACATCACCAGCAGCACTGGGTGGAGGACTTGATGTTTTGTGCCTCTCCAGTCTCTGTGGGACTCATCACAGGCCCAGACCATCTCAAGAAGAATGAGATGGAATGAGCGGGGTGGTCAACAAGAGCCAAGCCCTTCCACACCTTTGGGGACCAGTGGGGGTGGGGAGTTTGGAGCTCACTATGGGAAAGGATGTGGAGTGTGTCTGACCAAGTGGCTTTCACCAAAACACCCCAAATAACTGGCCCAGGGGATGACTAGGCTGGGAAAAGAACTCAGGAAGGCATCCAGACTGGTGTCCTGCCAGAGCAGGGCTGCCCTCAAGGTCTGATCCACACATGCTCTTAAAACCCCAGGACATGTTCCCTCACTTCAAAGTCTGTCCAGAGCACTGAGCACCACTAACCATTTGGTCTCCCACTCTCCAGCACACTCTGACACCTCACACCCCAAATCCAGGCACCAAATCCAGGGCTTATGCACTACCTCCATAGCCCTCCCAACATCTACAAGTCATCCTGAGGGCTGTCCCACTCATTGCACCACAACTGAAGCCACCCCAAATCAAGATGACACCAAACCAGTTGGGCAGAGAATAAGATTGCCTGGCCAAGTGCTGGCTGCCCCAGCCACGAATCACACCAGGAAGGGGACCAGATGCCTGTCTACCCCTACCACATCCTAGAAAAAAGGCACTAGAAGCATCCCAGAGGAGGAAGGATCTGCCAGAAGACCCACTTAGGCAGCAATACTGGGAAAGCCGAGCACAGAGACACTCCTGCTTTTGCCCTGGCGATGGACAGGGAGCAGGAGACTGTGGGATGGGGCAGGCATGCAGAGGGCACAGACCACCACCAGACAGGCACAGTAGGCTGGCAGGGAGGAGGCAGGATGGGAGGGCAGCTAAAAAAGCCCTAAATAATCCCTACACCACTGAAAGCAGGGGGGTTGTGGGGCAGGCTGGTGCTGCAGTTCCTGCTGAGATGAGCTGGGGTGGGAGCTGGAGGGGCCCAGGGGAAACGCTGGGGGAAGCACTGGCATTGCAGGGGCCCCCAAATTACTGACCTTTCCAGGGTGTCAGAGCGGTAGTTGTCTCTTCTAAAAATTAAAGAACAAGTGAAAGTTAAGGCAAAAGGGCAATGGAAAGTGCAGGCTCGAGACGCCTCCCTCAGCCTGCCCTCAACCTGGGGCTGGGAAAACAAGGGGATGGGGTAGCAAGTGGGATGTGCTGCCCAAATCACACCCCAATGCTCTGAGGCCACGGTCCCCCTGTCTGGGGGGGGAAGCTGAAATGAGCCAAATAAGGGACCTCAGACCCAGCAAAGTCTGTGGTTGCACCCTGAGCAAAAAGCAAAGCACAGGGGCTGGGCTTTGGGGCATGCAGGGGGGTTCAGCTCTCCCCTGCAGGTTTGGGGCCCATCCCTCTTGATAACCCTGCAACATCCCAAACAGATTTGTCGCCTGGCAGCAGCCTCTGGGAGTGACAGGGGGAGAAGCAGAGGGCTTGTTTTTTTCCCCAGCTCCACAGAACGAGGCAGTTTCCCTGAACACTCCATCACATTCCAGACAGCACCAAATGAGGCGCTGAATGAGGCGGCAGGTCTGTAATAACGAGTGCTACATGTTAAATAAAGCACTAGTTGACCTCCCTGAAAAATTAGATTAAAAAAAGGATTAAAAGATGAACGCTACATTAGCCTCTTTCACAGCCCCAAAAAGGCTCCTGTCACGGTACCTGCATGGATTAAAACTCCATTTGGGGGAGAAAAAAACTTCAAAACACTCGCTGAGCTTCAGGGAAAAGGGAACACTCACAAAATTGTCCCCCTAAAACCTCACAGAAGAGACATTCCTCATGCCTCAGCCAGGCCTGGGTGGTCTGCAGTGCCAGAGGTGTTGGCATCCCTAAAACACGGGGTTCCTGGATCACCAGGAAGGTTGGTGGGGAGGAGAGTGGAGATAGTTCCTAAGCAATGCTAATGATGGCTTAGCACAGGTAAATGTTCATCACGTACAGCAGGGATGTTTTGGGGGGAGCAAATGGGTGTTATGGTTCATTGACATCCAAGGTTAGCTCTGCTTTGGGGCTGTGGGCATGGAGCTGAGCATCCAAGATGGGATGGACTCCTCTGTCACAACTTGGGGGATCCTGACACAGATGTCAATACCAGGGCAGGGGAGGACAAGCCTGTCCTGTGATGCCACCCCGACCCCACAGTTGGGTGTGGCCCTGGCAAAGCCCAGCATCCTCTACTCTCCTTAAACAAACTGCTACCCTGGACCACATCCAGCCCCTCCCCAAGGCTGGTGAGACATAGGCATCACTTCCTGGGGCCTCCACATGCCTCCCATGCTCTGCTGCTCTGGCACACTCAACATCCCAACACGTGCTCTGGGACTCACTGTCCTGGTGTGCTTTGCGTGGATAAGAGCACAGCCTGCCCTGAGCCACCCCTGAGGGGCCTGGGGACAAGAAAAATGGGTCTGCTCCTCTGCTCTGCTCCCCTCCAACCACACAGCGATGAGAGGCAAGGAGATG